CACCAAATAGGGGCACATTTCATACCCTTGTGCCACATTTGGTGGAGGCTGGAGAGCTTGATCGTGCTCTAAGTTGCTGCCATGAGATCTTTAGTAGGAAGTGCAAAGTGCAGTGCTCGTTGCTGCAGGGAGTAGTGACTGCATTGATTGCTGCATCAAGGATGGAGAATGCTAGGAAGATCGTTCATCTTGGAAGGACGAACTACTATCCTCGAAAAGGTTTGAGGATGCCACCACATACTAGAAAAGACGAGGGTTTGAAGATGCCGCAACCTGCTGGAGAAGACAATGATGTAGAAGCTGAAAATGATTCAGAAGACTCTGTATCATATGAAGATGGGTACGAGGAAGAAGAGGAGTCGAAAAATGCTCAGTGAGGATATACCTTTGTAATTTAAGCATTGATGTGTCATGGTGATGCAAACTGAATTTGCTCTCCTTCTTTGCTGGCCTGATACAGCAGAATTGCCTGTACAATTGCAATTCTCTAGCACTTCAGTAAGATAATGGTTTATTTTGCTTCTCTACTGTAGGTTGATTAGTAAAAACACCTCTACTCATTATACATGATATTAGAATCAAACCCCTATTCTTCCCTTAGAATGGCTTGCTTTGGCTTTTTTGTCACAGGTCTTCAATATTGTTAATTACGTTTGTTTTAATGCCTTTTTCCTCTGTATTTATCCATAAACGATGTGTGAGCTTTATAATTGTTTTCATGTGCTGGTGTTTGATCATGCCACTGTTTGCTTTGGCAAGCAAATAAATACATAACTCCTGAATCATTGGCCTGGTTGACTTCAAGTTTGGAATATGGAAATTTCATACCTCATGGTACTTGGGCTTGATGTCACTCCAGATCGAATTCCATTTCCCCTAGATATTTATATTTGCATAGCAGAATTCTTTTCACTTTATAGTCACTGTTGTTTAATTGTTTTTCTTTCTTTGAACAGATCATCTTATTTGTTTGTTTTTTCTCGAACACATCTTACCTGTCAAATAACTTACTATTTGAAGTGCATTAACAAAAAAATGCAGGTTGATGCATACCAATTTGTCACACTTTGGATTGCTGATTTTCAAGTACACGTTAGTGTTTCCTTAGGTAAAAGGGGGCTTGTTTTGATTTAGAATACATGTACTTATAATTTAGCACTAGCAGGTTGACTGCATTTTGCTATGGCTGGTTAAACATTGAGATGGTCTTCAGGTTTGTTTCTACAGCTAAGTTAATGGAATTAAGAATGAAGGCAAATGAGCTATTTGATCTTATAAGTTGTGAGTCGCACAGATTAAAAGGGGATCAAGGTCACCATGGAGCATGTATATTTTTGTTTTACATATAATTTTTTTTTTCTTGCACAGATTTCAAAGTTTTTCTTTGTTAGATTAGATGCCTTTACAGTTTTCTGCCAAGTCTTGTGTTTATCGCAATAGGGGGAAAAACACGGATCTAGCTTATCTTCCAAAAATGAAGAAAACATAGAAGTTACTCCTTCCACTCCAAATGTAAGATGTTTTCCATCGAAAGTCAAATTTCCCTAAGTTTGACTCAGGCTGTTGGACACTTGTTCAGCGATGCCAGTAGTGGAGACATACTAATTGTGTCGCTTGCTCCAGAGTACTGTTGCTAATCAACGCGGGTAGTGTTTGTCATCTACCCATTTGGCGCTACAAACCCCATTACTTTGTTTAGGAAGCCTTGCTGTTGCATATGCAAGAATGCATATCTAGCTGCTTTTATCTCGTATTTAGTGGCATGGATTTGTGTAGTCGTATGCTTATGCATAGATTGAGTAGAGAACTTAACTAGAGATCCGGTCACTTCAGTTTCTAAGCTGCTACGATTATGGATGGGCTAGAAGAGGCACAGAAAAAAAAAATGAAAGTGTCTGCTTGGATACAGGGCTTGTATCTAAAACGGATACAGGGAACTTGTATCTAAAACAGTAAGGATTCAGTTCAAAGTTCTGGAGATTTATTCAATGGTTGTGCCATGGACTCAGTCGTTGGCGTTGAGCGTAAGCTCTGCTCTCAACCTGGAACGCACTGGATGTCTGAATAGTTCATACTCTTTGTATCCAGAATATAAGGTATCTTAGAAATTTTAGGACGTATCACTATAATTGTATTATTAATAGAAATTAATAGTAGATGTGCATATGAATGATGCCATTTTAAACATAGTTGTAGTAGAATCTTTTATAATTTGTTAAGACGAATTTTAAAACGTTTGGATACTTCCTATTTTAGGACCGATGGAGGGAGTATAGAATCATAGTTGAGCACCAGGCATCATGAGGGACACAACACGCAACTACTGAACATAGCTACGGAGTAGTATGCGCTTAGCATTTGGTGAATTAACTGGTCTGGTCTCTCGTTGGCCTTAGGCAGCAGCGTGCGTACTCAGCCAAAGCGTTCAGCAGTCCACAAGCAGTTAGGCAGAATAGAGACGCGACAAAACAAAGATGGCTATGCTAAAATACCAGCTGTAGCAAGAATATAGTAGCAGAACAGAAGACTCCAGACTTGCAAAATTGTTGTCAAATGTTGTAGGTTTGGCAGGTGGAGACTTTGGGGGCATCCGTAATCGGCGTATCACGATTAGCGAGCGCGCTGGCGCGGAGGAACTGGATTTGAACACGGAATTGTAGGCGTCGTCGTATTGTACGTGCAGTCAAATGCGTGCGAGTGCGGGGGTGCTGGTCAATGGAACACAGATTAATGCTGCCTGTGCTGCGCAGCTGGTGCCTGTCCAGAACCTTGGGCCGCGTTTAGTTGCTGCCAAAGTTGGCGCCGCCTGAAATCTACGGGCACTGTAGCATAGTGTAGCATTTCGTTTGTATTTGGTAATAATTATTCGATCGTTGACTAATTAGGCTTAAAATGTTCGTTTCGCAAAGTACAACAAAACTGTGCAATTAGTTTTTGATTTCGTCAACATTTAGTACTCCATACATGTACCGTAAGTTTGATGTGACGAGGAATCTTCTTTTTACATAGTGTGAAAGTTTGCATTCTGGATGAACTAAACGTGGCCTTGATACAAAATGCAGGCATTATTAACCCTGGCGCTTAGCACTATGAGGTGCGTTGATACAGCGTCTGGTCAGACAGATTCATCGTTTGATGAGTCGGTAAGCCCCATACCGCTGGTAGGATTTGTTTCTCCAATTTCATACTATGTTTGGTTTAAGTCCAACTATTTTAAACTCCACTAAATTTTAAAAGAATGGTATCTAAATTTATGACTCTGAATAAATGTATTCCATGTTAAATTTAATAATACATATTTAGTATGATAAATATTAGTAACTTTGTGTATGAATTTGGTTAAATTTCAAATAGTTTGACCTAGTACTATTGTGTGGCGTTGCAAAAAAAAAAGCGTCAAGGAAACAAATTTTGAGTGGAAACCAAACAATCGAGCAGTTCGGGCGGCTGATAAGCCGGCTCATGTTGTTTTGTTGTGAGAGAAAAATACGGATAAGCTTTGGCGAACAGGGCAATTAATATAATCCGGCATGGGCGCGTGCGAGGCAACAGACTTTTGGTTTGATGAATTCCGAACCGAAACCAAACAATATATGGTCGCAATGACTACTCTATTTTGCTAGTATAATTTTGATTGAAGAGAGAAATTGATTTATCACTATAGTTCCGTACAAGTACAATGACGCTACATAATCGCAGGGCACCAGCATTTTGAGAATTGAACTGTGAAGCCGCATCCACACCAACATTTTGATTTCTGAGCGGAATGACGAACCGGACCATTGATGAATGGCGGGCTGCAGCTGCAGGGCGCAGGGTGCGGCTGCGGCCGTAGGAAAACGCAACGCGCGGGTCAGGCAGGCTCATGGCCCAGAAAGCTGGCATGGCGTCGGCGTCGCCCCGATCCGCCACTGTTGTCGCAGACGCCGAGACAAAAGGCGCATTGAATGTCCGGTTCAGGCGGCTGGTAACCATCGATGTGACAATGACATGGCGTCGCTGCCTGGTGGGCGCAGGAAGGACCAGCACTAGCTTGCGGCTTGCGTCTGTCACGACAAGGTTCATTTGAAACAAAAGGCCTGTTCGCTGGTCGTTACTGGTTGGTGCTGGTTTTTTTAGAGAAAAATATTGTTGGCTGACTGATTTGGACTGACTGAAATCAACAAGCGAACAGGCTGAAAAAGAAAAAAAATCACAGTATATAGAACAATAATCCTGTTCGCCGATGCTCAAATTTAGTTGATTATGATGCTTACGCTGAAATATTGTGAGAGAAAAATATTGTTCCATGACTGAAAAATAGTTCTGAATAAGCTCAAGCGAACATGGGCGATTAATATTCTATAAACCTCTTTGGAAAGAACAAAGAATTTGGTTCCTTCAAATCTTATTTTCCTCCGTGTCAGTTTCTTATTGAATTCTTTCTATGTTGCATCCAGTTTCTTATTGACTTCTTTGTTGTGTTCTATCCAATGTGTTTGAAACATTGGACGAAATTTGAAACAAGAGTTGGACGATGGGGCTATACGCAGCAAGTCAGCATTCAAGAGACCAGTGGTTGCCTGATGGGTAACTTCGTGGTATAGAGTTTTTAAACACCAAACACGATGGGGCTATATTGTCTGTTCATGAGAAACGACTCTACATATTGATGAGCTACTCTTTGTGCTACCCACATCGACACATCTCTCTCCTTCAGGTAGCAAAGCATGACTGTTGACTGAATCGATGTTGTCTGCTCAGCTGGTCGGAAGCCGACGGTGAACCAGACACCCAAGCAAGCCACGAGCACATGAAGGCACGCACGCACCTGCACAGAAGCCACGAGCACATGCCGACCCAACTGCTGTGTTACACTAGTAGTAGCTCAGGCAACAGAGTAGCAATCGAAACGTACGACGGAGAGAGCGACAGAAGGTGAAAGGAGAAAAAGAATGGTTAATTACTAGTAATCCGTACAACGTACTAGTAACAATGAGATGGTGTGTTTAGCTAGTAGGCTACGGTTTGCAGATGACAACGAAGCACGGGAGCAGCGCCCTCGGGTTCAGCAGGTACAGCTCCTCGATGTTGGAGTAGGGGCCGACCTTGCCGGCGAGCGAGTCGAAGCCCGTCTGCCCCACGAACTCCTTGAGGTTGTCCAGCGGCTTGTGCACGCGGCCGGCGATGACCCTGCACACCAGCAGCGCCTTGCGCGTGGTGGTGCCCAGCTGCTGGTCAGCTCCGTCGTCGCCGGCCTCGATGGACTCGAACGCGCGGCCGCTGGTGGACGTGGTGAACACGCCCACGCCGGCCTTGCCCTCCTTCTTGGCGGAGAAGCCGTGCCGGATGATGCGGCACACGGCGCACTTGTCGGAGGCGCAGAGGCTGGAGGAGCCGCCGCCGCCGAGCGCGCACGAGAGCGTGGCGCCGTGGAAGCGCAGCAGCTCGTTGCCGTCGGCGAGGCAGCGCGGGTGCTTCTTGGGCAGCTTGCTCGCCTTGAGCTTCACGGCCTCGCGGTACTCCTCGAAGCGGGACAGCGTCCGCTGCGTGTTGTGCACCTTGAACACCCGCTCGATCCGAACGCAGCTGCTCTCCGACTTGAGCAGGCTCGTCCGGCAGATGATCTCCACGATCTTCCGCGACGAGTCTCCTTCCACCAGCTCCGTCACTGCACGCACATATACAACAAGTGGCCGGCTCAGCTACTAGCTCAATGCCGATCAAGAATCCAAATGCTTGCTTAGTTGCTACTCTCAAATCAATCTTCCTCGTTCTGAAGTTGCAAGTTGCATTGCGTGAGCAGTAAAAGAAATTGTTCTGAAAGCTTCTGCTTTGCAATCAAGAATCATGCAAATGGCTTGGTGTAAATGAGCATGCGGTACATCTTTATAATGCAGAAAAAGCATGGAGCAATTGCTACAGCCTACGGAACGCAGAATCCACCAGAATCTGATGCTACAGGCTCGCAGTTATTGAAAAAGTTGGGAGCGTGGATTCGCAAAAAAGCAGGCGTTTGGATGAAGAACTTTTTGCGCTGATAAAGATGTGCGGCCGGCACTAACTAAAGTGCCACCGCCCACCGTGCACCGCCCGGGACGGGAGGCGTGAAGATACACGGGGGAGGAGGGAGGACTGTGTCTGTATGTCTGTATGTACCAGTGTACCACTAGGAAAAGGGGAGCTAGCTGATCTGTACGGTGGGAGATGCAAGCAACGCGGCGGATGCAACAGAGATGCATGTGAGCAGCAGTAGGGAGCAGCGTCACCTGCATGCTTGGAGAGGTGGTGCGCCTCCAGCGCCTCCCACTTGCTGAACTGGTCGCCGCACCTGTGGCAGCTGAGCCCACCGGAGGAGCCCTTGCCGGCGCCGTGCTTGGCGGTTTCGTCGCAGGACGCGCGGTGTCCATTGCCGTTCGCCACGGAGCCGTTCCGCTCAAGCAGCATGTTCGGGGACCTCGGCGGCGTGCAGCGCACGCTGCCGCCCCGCATGGAGCCGTTGTACGGCAGGCCGTGTCCTCCGGCTCCGGCCCACGCGGGCCCCGGCGTGCCGGGGCGGAGCGTGCCGACGAACGACGACACGACGCCGCCGCCGCCACCGTCGGCGTCGTGCGCGGCGCCGCCGGCGGTGCCCACCCCGACGGCCGCCAGCCCCCCGCAGCCGGCGCCGAAGCCGGTGATCTTGAGCTCGCAGCGGGAGTTGGTGCTGAGCACGACCTCGTGCGCGATGGGGTTGAGGAACTCGCTGCTGCCGATCGACCGCGGGCTGCAGCTGCTGGGCGGCTGCCCCGGGTGGCGCTTGCTCCCGTGGATCACATCCCGCAGGTTGGCGATGGAGCGAGAGCAACCCGACCGCGTGGCGCGCTTGGTGGTGACGATCGACGACAGGTGGCCGCCGCCGCCGCCGACAGCCGCGCCTCCGCCTCCGCCCCCGCCCGCGACGGGTCCGGCCTTGGCGCGCGGCACGTGGACCTCCGACGGTTCGGAGCGGCAGTGCAGCGACCGCTTGAGCGCGAACCACACCGTCGGTGGAGGCGCCTTCCCTGGCGCCGCGGCCTTGCCCTCCTCGGCCCGCGCAGGCGCAATACTACCACCGCCGCCACCGCCACCGCCACCCCCGAGGGAAGCAGCGGTCGCGCGCCTCCTCCGCTCGCCCATCGCGTCGCGGGCCGTGGCGCGTGAGCTGCGTGACTTGGTCGCTCGGCCGGCCGGTCAGTGCGGCTGGTGGGCGCGGCAGAGCGGCACCCGAAGGAAGCGAGAGCGAGGGAAGCGGACCGGCAATTAAAACCTCTCTGGGAAAGTGTTGGGCTGGGCGGGCGGGCGGCAGTAAAGGCGCACCACCAAACCAAACCAAACCAAAACCAACTGCTCGGCTCGGGGCTCTGCTGCCCAGCTCTATGCTGCTGTTTGCCGGGCGTGTTGGCGTGTTGCCCGCCGAGCCTGACGACCTCAATGAGACGAGAGCGGTGGGTTTTTGCGCGCCGCGCGACCTGTGACTCGGCGGGGCTCACGCTCACCAGCTCGACAGCGAGGTTAGTTCTCGCTTCTCCGGCGTCTGGCCTGGGGTGTGTTTAGTTACTTCCAAATTCCCAACTTTGACACTATGCAAAAAGAAGATTCCGTCACATCAAACTTACGGTATATGCATGGAGTACTAAATGTTGACGAAATCAAAAACTAATTGCACAGTTTGGTTGTACTTTGCGAGACGAACGTTTTGAGCCTAATTAGTCAACGATTGGACAATTATTACCAAATACAAACGAAATGCTACATTACTTCTGGCGGCGCTACAGTGAATTTGCCGGCACCAATTCGGTGCAACTAAACGTGGCCCTGGCCAACCATACAAAAACGAAACGAGAGGCGCGAGGGACGCCAGAACGGGGACCATGGCCGACACGTAACAACAAATCTTCAACTGTAACGAGGCGTAGGCGGGCGGGAGCGGAGGGAGGGGAGCGGGACCGCGGGCGCGATGGGGCCCCGCGGTCCATAAATGCGCTTTCACTGCCCTGCCTAGGTTCGCTAAAACAATCGCCCTGCGTTTGGTCACCGCATTTGCTCCTGCGATTCCGCTACAGGGCCTACTACAGCTTTGGCCTGCCAAGACTGTCCTGAAAATCAGCTACTCCTACCGAGCAATGCAACTAGAACAGCCCGTAAGCTGCGGCCTGCGGGCCATGCATGATCCTCGTGTAACAGTACTGTAGTAGCCTAGAGTGCGTAGCAGCAGCAGATACGTACGCGCACCGTAGTGGTAAAACTGGATTTTGTCCGGGCGAGGGACTCGATCATTTAGCATGTTCGCTGTTTTGTTTCTGGACTGACAAACTTAGCAGGTGCTGGTTTATTGTGAGAGAAAAACACTGTTAGCTGACTAATAAGCGCGGGCTGAAACCAACTAGCGAACAAGCTAATTGTGTTGGAGGCGTGTTGGTGCTAACGACACAGATGTCGCTAAAACCAACAAGCGACCGGCTTATTCTCAACCAAGTCAGTTTATTTTAGTTTATTCTCCCCCACAAAACACTATTGAATACGTCGGCACTACGGGTGAAACCTGATGAAGCGCATAAGGTTTGATGAGGCCGTCAACGGGAGCTCATCACTAAGCGTTCTCCCGATGCTCCGATAGATAGGAGCCTGTCAGTGATTGGAGCTCGTCAAAATGGCATGCATGGCATGGGTGGCAGCGATATTCAGCCTGTTCGTTTGTTGGTTTCAGCCAGCCCAAACCAACTAGTTAATAGTGTTTTTCTCTCATAAAAAACCAGCACCAGCACCAACCAGTGAACAGGCCCATTGAGCACGTGTTTAGTTCAAAAAGTTTTTTCAAAAAGTGTTACAGTATCCATCACATCGAATCTTACGATATATGCATGGAACATTAAATGTAGACGAAAAAAACTAATTACACAGTTTTGTTGGAAATTGTGAGACGGACATTTTAAGTCTAATTAGTCTATAATTAAACACTAATTACTAGATAAAAACGAAAACACTACCGTAACTAAATTTCTAACTTTCAACCAACTAAACACGGCCTGAGGCGCCACACCGCCACTTGTGACTCGAGCTGGGTCGTGTTTTTCATGACAGAGCAAGAAAGAAAGGTGCAAGGTGTTAGCTAGGCCATTCATGCCGAGTTCAATGTGCTCTCTGCTTTTCATGACTGGTACCGGTACTACACCACTGCTGGTACTGGTGGCAGCACGGAACGCTGTAAACCTGGCTCATGGCTTCTGCAGACACTTGGCACTATTCACAGGTTATTAGGCGGTGTTTGGTTCGGATGTTTGACACATGCTTAGCATTAAATATAAACTAATTACGAAATTAATTGTATAGGTTGTGATTAATTTGCGAGACGAATCTTTTAAGCCTAATTAGTTCATGATTTGACAATGCGATGCTACAGTAACATTTGCTAATGATGAATTGATTAGGCTTAATAAATTCGTCTCGTGGAGTACTGACGAATTATGTAATTTGTTTTTTTATTAGTATTCAAACACTCTATACGAAACCTTCACGTGATACCTTCTAAATTTTAGTCATAGTATCGGAACAACCCTTAATCATGATTCATGCACGCAAGAACTACGGAGAGAGTGCCCGTAGCCTTCTTGCTACTGTGCGCGCCTGCCGCAGTGCCGCCTGCGTGGAGTGAGTGAAATGAAATAATGAATGAATGGAAGAGAAACTGTGTTCACTTAAGCACAGGAGGGAAGGAATTGAAGTCGGCCAGATCTTTCAGAGCTCCGATCCACGCACTCGTCGTCGCTAGTCGCTAGGGTGTTCGGCTGATCTGGTCTTGATTATTTCGTTTCAGCTTCCCTCGTAGAACACTATTAAATCATTCAAAATCAGTCGAACTACAGTGTTCATCTGTACCAGCCGAACACCCTAATCTGTCACCATTTCAGGGCAGGAGTGGTAGACAAATTCGCTGAAATTGGCCGGTGCTGTAAAAGGTCGCCCAAATCTCCTGGATCAGTGCTTCAAAGCTCTTCCGTTTCTGAGGGACATTGCTTAGAGGGTGCAGCATCATTGTGCACGCGACGACTGCTGCTAAAAAGTTTTTGGAGCCGTGGAACCAAAATGAATGTCACGGCGGCATCACAGTCAAGGTCATCGTATCGTCGTTGATGGCAACGGTTAGGACTAATCAACGTCCTACTAATGATGTACCGTAGGAGTACTAGTGGTGGACCGGTGGTAGTACTCGCTCGACAGTTACGAGAGGACCTGTGCATCATCAGTGCATGCGTGCATTCAAGACACGCTCGCTGGGGCAGCCTTTTTCCCGCACAATGATGCGCATCCGGCATTCAGGTGGAGTACGTATCGTACGCGTAGAAAGTTCCCGACCAAGACACTTTGAGGTCCGCCCAATCACGGATACTATACTACGGGAGGAATTCGAGCTAAGCTCGAACATGTTTCCCTCGTAGATAGGGAGGTACTGAATGATGAAGTGGTCATCATCTACTCCACCGGCTTAGCAGGCGAGCCGAAAGTCTTAAGCCATATACCGGGGTTCGTCTCCCCGGTATACATGGTGATGTTGGTAGGCGGTCGGAAGCGCTGTGGAAACGACGCTCTCTGGATGCGTCGGCCAAAGGCCCGTGGTCCTGGGACATCCGGGCTAGGACTCCGGTCGTCCGGCCGACGACCGCGCCTGGGGTGTGTTTCACCACTTCCCGCGATGGTTCGGTCGGGGTCTGTGTCGCCTGCCCTTACTGCCGCTCGATGGACGTCATCATCATGCCGGGACCAACGACGGTTGCTGATGACGCTGCGAGCGTCTTGGTTCGGCCCGAGCCGCTCGCGCACAGGCGGTCGGTGCAGAGCGGGCGCCCATAACACTGTTGTTGTCAGACTCATGTGGGAGGTTTTACCGTATTCACCATGTATGGTAGATGACGGCGCTCACAACACTGTTGATGTCCAGAGGCATATGGGGGGAGCCTTACCATGTTTGTCTGGTACGGGAGTTGATGGGGCCCACAACACTGTATGGCAAATGTCGGCGCCCACAACACTGCTTGGATTCTGGCATGCCTGGAAGGTTGCAGGGCACCCTTCTGACATGTCATGTCGGTTATTGTCCTACAGGTGTATAGGGTACGGTTCTCGGTATCGCGGTCGACTTGAGTGCCCTGCCTTACTTGCTTCGTTCATTTCCTGGTCCTCACCGAGCGGGCGTCCCCGGTCGGTTGGTTCCAGTCGGCTCTGACTGCGCCAGTCGGAGAAGAGCTGTAAGCAGGGGTTCGGTGCATCCCCGGTCGGAGACGCGGGTCGGAGTTGGAGATGGTGTTTGGCCAGGCCTTCCGGTCAGAGAGGTGGGCCGGAGTCAGAAGCAAGCGTTGTTCCTCCTTGGCCAGGTCTTCGGGTCGGAGATTGGATCGCCCTTCTGACCTGTCGTTTAGGTATTTTGGTCGGTCCAAGAATTGCGCGTCGTTCGCAACGTCGTCTGCTGGGCCGAGCCTTTGCTGGAAAGCCGATCCATGATGGACTCCGGGTTTATGAACCCGACACATTGCATAAATTATTTCTTATGCCAATGTATATAATTTGTCATTCTTTTATATATAATATCTGGAGCATGACTATACATATGTAATCTGTTAAAGGCAATTTTATACTAGAGTCCCTGAAAATTTTGGATTACCATGACTATTTAGTTTTTCAATCAATTATGATCTTAGATTCATGTATGATTATTCATGTATAGTGCAGCCCTTATGTTAACTCTTCCTCTACCTTGCTCTCAAGTTCAGTTCTTGTAGAGGTATATCCTTATCCTGCCAAACTTAATTTATATAATTATATTTTAATTTCAATTTCTGTGCAAACTACATATATTATTTCATTTGCATTCTTAATTACCTTCTCAAACCAATATACTGCTACAGGATCACATGCCCTCTCCTTTTCTTCTGACCAAGGAAATATAAGCAAATAACCATAGAGAATTCTTCCACTAGACTCAAAAACCAATAACGATGTGATAACCAGAGATACAAGTAAAGGTAAATATATTCTATGATGTTGCCTGTACTTATACTAATATTATTAATATGGCAGCAGTCATTTTATATTTCCCTAATGATATATTTGAATATACTCACCTGGTTGCTACTCTTTTGATTCAAACCAACCTCAATAGTTCATTTGTTCCTCATCTATTTCATTCTTTAGTTTCAAAACTGACATTTTTAGCTCGCTCTCTCCTTTGGTTGCTTCGTCGAGTTCATCATGTGTGATGTGATGACTGATGTAATCTTCTCCCCACGTGCCCTGGCCGACAAGATCGCCGAGCTTACCGAGGTGGTTAAGGTACACCCAATCTCATTCCTTGCGTTTGCTATTGCTGTTCGTCGTAGGGGCAGTTCGCTGGTCTGGAAGTTTCGCCGGCTGCTCCCCTCATATTTTACTGTTTATCAAACCAGCCGAACAGTATTTCTCTTTCATATAACCAGTCAGTTTCAGCCAAGTTTCAGACCAGCGAACGGGACCATAGATGTAACTGGACCTTCATCACATATCTCAAGGCAATAACCGGTTTCCTTCCCAGCAGTAGAAATAGAACAACACTAACAGAAGCTTGTTTAAATTTGTTATCTCTATATAAGGAAAAAATGAGCACCAAGACATACCAAAATTTAACCAAATTGAAATTCACCTCATATTTATTTGAAACCTTCTAATTTTTAAAACTCCAATCTCCATAGTTCCGAACTCCGATTGAGTAAAACTAAAGTATGCTGCCCATAATCAAAACTCAGTATAGGCATACATAACCAAAAGAGAATGTTCTGATTTTCCCCCCCTTTTACACAATCTTGCAGCGGCTGTTCAACAGACAGTAACATGGAAACAAAAGACAGACTTGGAAGAGAAGGGTTATATATAGCCATTACATGCTGCAGTAGTGCAGTCAGTAGGAGCTCTAGCCACCGTTGTGTATCTCCAAGTGGTGCCCCGTGGTGTCCGTCGTATATATTGCAATATATACAAAAATAGATCAAGAGATGTTGACATGTCTCCTTTGGTTATCACGAGTCCTGAGCTTATGTTTTTCTGAATCGCTATACTATCTAGGCTTATCACATATTCTGTACTTCTTTTTCTATCTTCAAGTTGATATAGGCCATCATCCTTTCTTGAGAATGATTTCCTTAATCAGGCTATATACATCAATGTGTATGGAATCCGGTCCTGTTCACCTGCAGCCGCTGGTTGAAGTATCGCAGGTTGGTGCTGGCCCGACACAGGATCATCCGTGCGGCAACGCTGCACATGATTTCTAGTCTGAAAAAGTCCACGTTACCTTCCTTAACTTTCGTAAAAGTTCGTTTTTCCTCCTTGAAGTTTAAAATCGGGCAAAATACCTTCCTCAACTTTTAAAATTGTTCATCTTACCTCCCTAACCCTATAATAAGTAGTTTTGAAGGAGGTTTTGTCTTTTTCTTTTTTATTTATTTTGGCTGAATCTTTAAAAAATCATAGTAAATCACACAAAAATCATAAAATATAAAATCCAATTTTGTTGGACTCCACGTAAGTAAATATACACAGTGAACATATAATATGATATGTTTTAGTACAAAGTTTTTGTTGTGACTTTAGATCTATATTTTTTTTGTAAATAATTGGAATAATTCATAGCTGCAGTTTCTATGGTCCAATTGTGATGAAATTTTTATGATGGGCTAATTATTGTATGATTGAATTGTAGTAAAAATTTCATACCCATTGAATCATGTATAGCTTAGTTATAGATTTATTTATATTTAACAAACACAAACCTAAATAAAATCATCCTCTTTTGGCCACTCTCAATTGTTCACGAAGGGGAAAGGTCCTCTCTGAGCCCCCCCCCCCACCAAAAAAAAAAAAGAGAACTAATCACCGTGCAGCTGCAAAGGCCCCTATGAGGCGTATGTTTTTTTTTGCCCATGATAAGTACTTTTATTTTTTTATTTTTTTCTCTTCTATTTTTCTGTTTCATTATCTTTTATTTTCTTTCATTTTTCATGAATTTTCAGTTTACTTTTTTCCTGATTTCTTCCTTTTTATTCATTTTTTTCTATTTTTATTTTTAATTATCTATACGTGGTACATTTTGCAATGCTCCTTAATACCTATGAGATGTTAGACCGACTCCAACGAAGAGGACCCAAATACGATATCCATTCGGCGTTATAGGTCATCTACAGTAAAAAAAAAACGTCACGGACGCAAATATCTCATCTCCAACCGACGGACCTAGATCCACGCCCACCCACCGCCGCGCCCTCCCTTCTCACCGTGGAGGGGCAGCGCGCGCGGCGCGGCTCCCTCCCTCCCTCCCTTGTCGCGAGCATGGTGCCCCTCCCTCCCTCGTCGCGGCCCCTTCCTCTGTCTCCGGCGGGCGACGGGCCCGGCGCGCGCAGCGCGGCGGCGAGCATGGTGCGCGGCCCCAAGAGCGCGGGCGACCCCTCTTTCTCCTCCGACGGCTCCCCGGCGGATCTAGGCCGCGCCTCTCTTCCAACCACGGCACGACGACCCCTCCCTCTCCTCCGAGCACGGCGTCCGAGGGGCGGCAGATCCGGTCCAGGAGCGCGGCGTGGGGACGGGGCCTCCTCCCCTGGCCAGATCCGGTGGCGGCGTGGCGCGGGGACGCTGTATCCAGTGTGTGGCGCGGCGCGGCCCCTTCCCCCTCCGCCTCCTTCCTCCCTCTCTCTTTGCCTCGCTCTCTCCACGCGGCGGCGCCTTCGTCTACAGTGTTTTGCGTCACCGAAAGAGACGACACGTTTTTGTCTTTCGGCTCGCCTGCGAGGCAAAATGGCTACCTTATTTGCGTCCTCCGTTGGAGCGTGATTCTAGGACGCAAAACACTGTGCGTGATGGATTTTGCGTTTGCGTCGCCGTTTACCTACGTCGTTGGAGACATTCTTACATCTTTACATATGAATCCTACGTCCAAACCGCGACCAGCCAGCGTGCCACGTCACGGGCTTTTCGCGGCCGTTCGATCGGGTGCGAGGACGGCCTAGATCGGACGAGCGGCGGTCATTTTTCTAAAAACCCCTTCTATTTTTCGAAAATCAACCCACGCTCCAGAGGTCCTCTTAGTATATTTTGTAAAAAAACACGTCAGATTATTTCGAAATCAACCCGCAGTCCAGATCGGATGGGCGCTTCCTCTCTGGCTGCCTACGCACCAACGCTGTGGCAAACCCCCGCCGGTCCCCGGCGCTGCCTCTCCGCCGCTCGCGTCCCCGCCGCAGCCTCCCTTCTCTCTCTCTCTCTCTCTCTCTCTGTCCCGACGTGGTGGCGCTGCAGCAGCTACTACCAGCTAGTACTACTGGAGCGAGCACCACTGAATCAGTACTACTCCACCATTGCTGCAGGCTGCTTGCCTACCTACAAATAGGGCGCCGGTGACCTGCAAAGCCATGGCAGGTTGAGCATCTCCTCTAGTTCTGGGAGTAGGGATAGGGATCAGATCAGGGTCAGTTTCCTTCCTGGCTGTACCAGCAGAAGTGGAAGGGGCATGCAGAGGAGCACGAGGCGTGGTTGGAAGCCGGCCTGTGCTACCCTCACTAGCTCTCCTGTGCCTGCGCGCGGCCACCTCCGCACGCTTCGCACTGCCGGCCCGGTGGCTCCCAGGCTGCGCGGCGCAGCCCCCGGTGGTGCCCCGCCGGTGGCTGCCTCCCGGCACAGACGCTCCCTCCCCGAGGTCGCCATGCCGCCGCTGATAGCCTTGAGGCCGCCGGCGCCGCGAGCCCGCCCCCACCATCTCCGGCTCCATCTTGCGACGCACTCCGCTGCTCCGCGGCCGGCCTTGCTGCCGGATCCACTCCGCGCGCCGACTCTTCCTCTCCCTTGGTGCCGGATCCGAATAGTACAATTGCCGTTCTTCCAATTTCAGTCACATTTTTTTTATTTCAATACATTGCTCAGATTGGTACCTTATAAAAAAATCCCTGTGTTTCTGCTACACTGTAGGTCAAGGAGGACCGCTTCATCCTAGAAGACTCTGTTGTAACGATTAGTTGAATGGCTCAGAGTCAAGAGTAATGGCCAGTGTTGAAAAAGGGAGCTTTTCTCTGTACCTAGGGAACTAACAAACTAACATGTTATCTTTCCAATTCAGGTAGGTAAATGCAGAACCAGAAGAGCAAGGAGAGGCTCAGAGAAATCACCCAATCCTAGGCCATTCAGGCTTACGGAATGATGTGAGTTTTTACAGTCCCCAATTCTCACTGCGTCTCTAAAATATGTTTAGCTGAATTGCTTTGATCATTATGGGTTTACCATGTACAACTCTGACCCTGAATATGTGCTCTATGATTACAATGAGAGGAAATCCAACACTGAATAGTTTAGTGATGCTTTTTCCCCTTTCAGGTAATAGTCGTAAGATGCTCCACATGATCTCTACCTGATGGATGATAACTGCGTGAATGATATAGCCATATATGCATTGGTGCTTTCCTGAAACTGATTTACCGTTGCACATATTGGCAGTCAAGGTTTCCTCATATGCACCAGCAGCAAAATAGTTTTATTGGGTCACCAAGTTCTTCGGTTACCTCATTTTCGATTACTATAAAGTTAGCTGCCGAATTTAGGTGTGCTATGCCTCCTCTTTCTATTTTGCATGTTTCTCCAGTCTCCAGTTTTGGGATGCACTCCTTTTCTTCACAATGTATATATACTTTATACTTAACAGGGTACTAATAATAAAATAGCAGGTACCCATATACTTTCATTGCCCAGTATTAATGATGTTGTTTTCCAACTATGTTTGTCAAACTTAATATTAAATATTTGATGGACCCCCCCCCAAAAAAAAAAAAAAAAACTATTGTTTAGTTACAGGGTGCCGGCGCTTCTTCTCATGACATTAGGCTACATTAAAGTTCTCATAATTCTTTTGCCTATTAAAGTTAACAAATAAACATTTTTTTCTTCCCACCTGATGTTGGTGCTAATAGCATTAGTCAATTACCTGATGAAGATGTTGTTTCCCATATTACCATTCTACAGATCTTCCATGGACCTGACAATGATGTTCTCTGGCTTCCAAGGGATTTTCATATTTAAGCTGCGAATATGTTTGGTGCTTCCAAGGTAAGTACCCATTTGCTTGCTACATCTTTTTTGCTGTAGCGTTTGTGTGCCATGCACTGCCTAAATTGAGACCCCATTTTCTCAAGGATCAATGCATTTGTAATTGCTCTATGAAACGAAAGGAATATGATTAACTGAAAACCAATATTATCATCTACAAAATATATAAAAACCTAACACTGTACCACTTCAAAATTGTATTATTTTAAGTGGGCACAAATAGTATGGCTATAATCTGATGACATTTCTTTATAGATACTATGCTGAAGCAATATCTTTTACATGGCCTGCTTTCTAATAAATGAGGATCTGCAAAGAAATCTTTATTTGATGCTTCCATTTTCAAATAGGAAATCTGTACAATATTTATAAAAGTACATCTTATTGCTTATCTTCCACCATTTGTGTTTGTCAGTGCAGCCTGGAGCGCCATTGTTTATACCACTGAATATGCCAACAGAAACACCAATTTAAGTGAACAATAAGCAATATGATGCCATTCTGCGTCGACGCCGTGCCCATGCCAAAGCAAAGAGGGAAAACAGGCTGCTCAAAGCCACAAAAGGTACTTTGCACATCTCAAACTGTTGGTTGAACACCTTAATTGTCAACTTTGACTGCTGCTACATCACCATTGCATGCAACAAATCTTCTGTTCTCTTAGTAGCATTTATGTCAGTCAGCTCTCTCCATGAGTCACGCTCTCAAATAACTGTTAATTGAACTACAGAATTGTCACACACCCTGCCTGTTAGCCCCAGTGAAAACAGGTATGTGGCAACCATGGTAGCAGGCGCTTGCCGACTGGCACCAATACGTTCCGTCTAGCTCGGTCCCCGGACTCGCTCCCGTCGGCTGCCCGCTGTGGTGACGCTATCTTCACCTCAGAGTTCTCGCTTCCTCTCCTTGGAGAGTCCTGCAATAATCTATTTTCCAAAACCTTTTATAGTTCCTTGATCTGCGATCTATTTCACTGACGACAAGACCATACTATCTCAGTTTGTTCAGCGAGCATTGAATGGGATGGCAAACTCTGTTTGTTGAGTGCTTTCACTTGGATCCCATTCAAAGCAAAGTCCACTCAGTTCAGAAAAAACATAAGAACCTCAGTGAAATCCATACTTCCAAAATACTCTTACTGATGAAACATATGCGAACTAATTCACTCCGAATAAAGGAAGAAGAAATATCCCTGTTAACAATCTCTACTCTTTACTATAATCCAATTGTATCAGCCGATGCAACAAATTGGTGCGTTCAAAGATAGCCAGAAAATTAGAGTACTCTTTACAAAAGTAAAGCATCAACGACATATATAAAAAATTCCAATGGGCTGGGCAGCTGGCCTCCTCCGAGCTGGGCGCGGCAATGCCGCGCCGGTGTTTCTAGTGAAGCATTATTTGGTGTTCGCTGAGTATTTATATAATGTCCCATGATGTATTTTCTACTGTTTAAACAGTACACATAAAATGTTCCATGGTATATCGCCATGTCAATTATTAGCAAGGAATAAGTATACTACTAGTTCATTAACATAAACTCCTTACAACACACGAAAGATACAAGCCCAAACTCTCAACAAATACCACACAATCTATCTACTAATAAAACGTGCACATGATTGGTTCATATGACCCGGTGTCTAAAACCTCCTGATCTGAAACTGGCCTCTCTCGCTCACAGGGCTACAAGCATGAACCAGCCAAGAGCTGCTAGCGCCGCTGTGGCCTCGCCCCACGTTGCTCGCAGCACGGTAGGCCCGCCCGATGTTGGCGGCGGCGGTGGCGGAGCTGACATCGGAGCAAACATCGCGAACGGAAAGTCTGCTTCGGCGGCCTGCACTGTGGGGGCCGGTGCCGGCGCATGCAGGGTTTCAGGCGGGCAGTACCTCTTCCTGTGCTTCTTGTGCCCTGCACGTCTCGGCGGCGCAGCTGCGGGTGCCGGCGCTGCAGCCGACGGCATAGGCGCCGGTGATAGCGCCGGTGGCGGCAGCAGCGGCGGCGAAGTGGGTGTGGTGGGTGCGGGTCGGTCGGCGACTTCCACCACCATCTTCATGCCGCCCAGGCAGTGTCCCGGCGCGCCGCAGATGAAGTAGCGCGTCCCCGGCATGGTGAGCGCGATGGTGGTGCTGCCGCTGTTGTCGTAGAAGATGGGGTCGGTCGTCGTGCACGCTTCGAAGGCGTCCTTGGTCACCTCCATGACGCTGTGGTATGAGTTGTATTTGAAGGCTGCATCGTGTTGCATTGCATGTGCATAGGAATCATCAACGCAATAAGAATTTTACGAGGACGGCCTATGGTAGGCATGCAACGCACAATGACAGCCGACAGAGTATATGTATACGAGCTGATGCCTGATGACTATACTTGGCCATCGGGCTGGCCCGGCACGGCACGGCACGGGCCCGTGCCAGGCATGGCCCGGAGGATGTCGGGCCGGCACGACACGTGGGCCTCCCAGGCCGTGCCCAGCCAAGGTCGTGCACGACCAAGGCCCGATCCCATCATGGCTCTCGGCTGGGCGTTTTTGGCCGGGCGGCAGCATGAAAGCACGCCCGCCAAGCATGCCAGGCTAGCCCGAGGCCCACAGAGAAGGGAAGGGGAGAGCAGGGGGTGGCGGCATGCGCAGCCGCCACACACGGCCGCCTGGAGGTGGGCTGCCAGCGGAGGAGGAAGACGGTTGCGCGTGCTTGAAGCCTTGAACCCTAGATCCGCCACCGGGGAGCGCGCCCGCCCTCGATCCGCCGCCTGGGACGCCACCACCCTGGATCCGTCGCCGGGGACCGCCACACGCCTCCTCGCGCGTGGATCTCGTCGTCCTCCACCTCCTCGCGCCGGATCTTGCGAAGCCGTCGGATCCGGATCTCGTCGGGGCTGCGAGCTCGGTGGATGCGCCGCCTGCTCCTGGCTGCACCGCCGCCGTGGTTGGAGGGAGACGGGGCCGCCCTCACTGCCGTGGTTGAGCCGCCACCAGCCGCCGGGTTGGAGGGAGGAGGAGGAGGGCGCTACCACCATGGGGGGAGCGGAGGTCGTCGCGGTGGTTGGAGGGAGAGGGAGGGCCACCGAGGGAGGGAAAGAGGAGGTGGGGAGGCGAGGAGCCGAGGAGGAGGCGGCCGCGTGGGGAGGCGACTAGGGCGAGGTCGCGAGGATAGGGTTCGCCTTGGGCGTGGCGGCGTCGTGGCCCGTGGGGGGACCGGGGGGGGGTGGCTGCTGCGGGCTACCGGTGGCTGGTGTTTTAGCAGCCGGTGGCCGGGCCGCCCTCCATTTCTCGTGCCGGGCCGTGCTGGCCCACGGGCTTGGGGGTCAGCCCAAGCACGGCCTAAGCAGCGGGCCGGGCCAGCCCGGGCCCGAGTTTCATCGGGCCGTGCCGGGTTCGTGTTGGGCTTTTTTCCCGTGCTTCGTGTCGTGCCTCGTGCTGCATGGCCAAGTATACTGATGACACTTACTTAGGCTATCTCCCGGCGCGAAAGTCTGGGCTGCGGCCCAGGACTTGTAGTCCGTCCTGCCGTCCCAGCCGCCGGCCGGGTTGCCGACGACGTAATCGGCGGCCATCACATTTATCAGCGACAATGCCCAGGCGACGCACGCCAGTGCCTTCATCGTCCCCATCTTCGCCGTAGAGGGCGTGATGGCACCACAGACCAGAGAGGCAGACTGCACCTTGCCACGGTACCTG